AAATAAAATAAAAGACCCTGTCTTGGGAGTCCTCCAAGAGTAGCCTAGATAATGAACTCCTCTTCGAAACACAAGGTACATTTGATGGACAGCCTCACTCTGTTATATGCAGACTGTGGCCCTGTAACCTTTCCGAGGTCCATGGAACCAGAATTCCGTCTATAATCATCTCTATGTTCCTGGGACAGGTGTGAGACCCTTTGATACACTCCTCAACACTAGAAATCAGTTCATAAGATCAAGCCTAGATTTCAGAAATGGGAATCTGTGTTTCATATTCATTGACATTCAGTGAGTATCCTGGCTTTCTGGTGCCACAGTCACCATTGCCTACCACATTTGACTGAAGACTTGTATTCCCCGGTGTCTTATCATACAGCACAGTTACAATACTGTTATGACTTTGGAGAAAGAAAGTAAACCAAGGAGACTCAAACTGATTGTGAGCCGACTGATGAATACATGAGTAAAATTCAAGACATTTCCACAGAGGCCAGCAACCATGACATAGGTGGTATGACCAGTATCCCTAACTGCTGCTCTTGACATAGAAGCTGACAAGATCCCTGACAAAATAGTTGGAGCTTTATCCTATGTTGTTCGAGAGAGAGCCCTGCATATTAAAAAAAAAAAAAAAATCCCTTCTAATAACACTGCCTATGGAAACTCACCTCTCAGACTTTGTTTCTTTGAGAAAGAGAAAGCAAGAATAGAAAGGTACAGTGGATTCCCTGCAGTACAATTCTGGAAGACTTTTAAGGAAATCTTCCATTTGTGTGACTGGCCTGTGGTAATGGCCTGCTGGAGAACGTGGCACAGTACAATCTGATTTCATAGAGCTCCTGTGAAAGCAGGGGTGTGCTCTGTAACCCTCCTGAGTGTGAAGATGGCATTACAAATAGATATGTAATAGAAAACGTTTCCCACTTCCCTTCATTAGGGATGTCTTAGCCCATCTTTTCTTGCTATAAGGCCGGGCTTGGTGGCTCAGCCTGTAATCCCAGCACTTTGGGAGGCCCAGACAAGTGGATTGCCTGAGCCTGTGGGTGGGTTCAAGACCGGTGCAGGCAACTTGGCCAGACCTTGTCTCTGCTAAAATAAAAAATTAGCCACGCACGGTAGCACACACCTGTAGTTCCAACTACTTGAAAGGCTGAGGCGGAAGGATCACTGGTGCCCAGCAGGTTGATGCTGGGGTAGCCATGAGCATGTCACTGCACTCCAGCCTGGGCAACAGAGTGAGACTCCAACTCAAGAAAAAGAAAAATGGGTCATTTTAAAAAAGAAGTTTAACTGGGTGTGGTGTCACATGCCCCTAGCACAGCACTTGGGAAGTTGAGGCAAGAGGATTGCTTGAGTCCAGGAGTTCGAGACCAGGTTGGGTAACCCCCATGTCTAAGAAATAAAAAATAGTACAATAGCTTTTTTAAAAAGCTTTAATTTATAAATAACAATATCTGCAAAGCACAGTCAAGCAAGATATGCTTGTATAACACTTGTATATATATATTTGTATACACACATACACATGTATATGCTTATATATGCGTGTGTATGTATATCCTTGTACTTGAAACACTGGTCAGATGAATTGTTAAAATAATTACCTGAAGAGAAAGCAGTGGAAAAAATAGCAATAAAAGCTAGATTTCTTTGAATATATTTTGTTTTACAGATGTAGTTTTGTAAATATTTTACATAATTTAAATGAAAATTTAAATTGCAATTTAAAGTGCAATTCCTAAAATTCAAATAAAATTTAAAGAAGAAAACCTGTGTTTCTGGATGGTGACATTGCTACTCAGAGGAAAATTGTTCCAAGTAACTGTAAAACACAGTGATTTGACTGTACATTTCTGGTGAAATATACCTTCAAAACAAAAAGTTTAAAAAAATCTTAAATTATTTTCAGTAATCATTGATATTTTTGTTGACACCAGTATTGATATTCCTATTTGATTGAATCAATGATAAAACAGATGAGTAAGCTGGTGTTTAGAACTGAAAAGAAATAGATCAGACAAAGGGAGACTCATTAAAAATCTGTAGTCTTGGATATGAGTTTGATTATTGGGAGAAATAATAAAGTGTTTTATTTTGCCTTTTTGTATGTGAATATTCCTCAGAGTAACCAAGTGGTTGATGAGAGGTGGTTTCTCTTCATAGAGTATCCCTGCTAATCAGTGAAGACAAAATGCTATCAAGATCCTGATGAGAGTACACAATGCACCTCTGAAAAATTCTGGCAAACAAAAAACAAAACCCCTGAATTTGATCAAGCCTTTAGTTTTAATGACTAATTCATAGGAAAAAGAAGAGACAAAGAAGTATGTTAAATTACACCATGGGGATTCATTCAGCAGAAAACAGACTGTGGGAAACTGTGCAGAACAAATGACTCATTTTTTTTTCCAACAAATTGTAAGGGAAAAAAAAGTGATCGGCCAGAAATCTGTTGATTAAAAAGATCTTAAGAAACATATTAACCAATTGCAATGTATAAACCTTATTTAGATTTTGGTTCAAACAAACTAGGGTACAAAAAAGAACATTTATAGGGCTTATGAGAGAATGTGAATACCTTGATATTTAATGATATTAAGAATGATTATTGGCTTTGTGTGAGTGTGTGAGAGAGACAGGTGGTTTTTTTTTTAAGAGGAGTCTTAAGTTTCTTTAAAACATATGTGTTGAAATATTTACAGTTGAAATGATATACTATCTAGTGCTTGCTTCAAAAATCTGGGGGGGATGTATGGAGCATTATAGAGGGAACAAAATTGGTCATGAGTTGAGAATTGTTGAAGATTGGTGATGACTGCGTGAGGGTTCAATATATTATTCTCTCAACATTTGTGTGTTTTTATTTTTTTATTGTGGAAAAATTATAAAAACTAAGAAACTGGTCACATAAAAATGGCTCAAAACAAAACAAAAATCCCAATAACATAACTAACTTATTTTCTTATAATCAAGTTTACCACTTTTTTTTGGTAAACTTCTTGTTTTGTAGTAATTTTAAGTTTGTAGAAAAATTGCAGATATTACAGTTTCCATATACCCCTCACCTGATTTCTTCTTCTTTTTTGTTTCTTTTTTTGAGTTGGAGTCTCACTTTACCTCCCAGGCTGGAGTGCAGTGGCACGCTCACGACCACTTCAGCCTCAACCTGCTGGGCTCAAGCAATCCTTCCACCTCAGCCTTCCAAATAGTTGTATCTACAGACACACGCCACCACACCCGGCTAGTTTTTGTGATTTAGTGTAGAGACGAGGCCTTACCATATTGCCCAGGCTGGTCTTGAACCCTCGGGCTCAGACAGTCCTCTCACCTCAGCCTCCCAAAGTGCTGGGATTATAGGCTGAGTCACTGTGCCAATTTCTTCCATTATTAGTGTCTTATATTGCCATGCCACATTTGTAAACACTTAGAAACTGACATTGGCATATTACTGGTAATGAAAATCAGACTTAATTTGGATTTCACTAGTTTTTCCATTATAGTCCTCTTTCTACTGCAGGATCTAATCCAGGGTACTGCATTTATCTTGTTTCCCTAGTCTTCTTTGGTCTGTGACAGTTTCTCAGTCTTCCTTGTTTTTCATGACCTTTACAATCTTGAGTACTAGCTTGGTAGCTTGTAGAGTGTCCCTCAATCTAAGTTTATCTGTTGTTTTTCTCATGACTAGACTGAGAATATGGGTATCAGGGATGAATTCTACAGAGGTGAAGTACCCTTCTCGTCACATTACATCAGTGGTGTACATGTCAACACGACACCACTGATGATTTGAACTTGAGGTAGCATTTGCTAGGTTTCTCCACTGTAATGTTGATATTTCCCCCTTTCCCTATTCTTTATTTGTAAGCAAGCCACTAAGTCTAGCTCACCCTCAAGTTGGGCTGAGAGGTTAGTTAAACTCTACTTTCTGGAGGGGAGCCATGTTGGGGTTTCCTAAGATCATCCCTAGTTTCAGTGATTCACTAGAAGAACTCAGCAAACGGTTGCACTTGTAGCTAAACATTATTATGGCAAAAGAATATGGAGCAAAATCAGCAAAGGAAAAAACTGGCCATATAAGAATGGCACAAAACATTACTATTGATGAAACACCATTCTGGAGAGAAGTCTGAAGGAAACCTGGTAGAAGCTTCCAAAAGTCCTCTCCCAGTGATGTTACTCAGGATTCATTTAATTCCCCCAGCAGCAAGCAGTGACAACAAATGTAAGGTGTCATCTTTCAGGGAAACTTATCTGAACCTGAGAGTCCAGGGTTTTTATTGGGGGCTGGGGGCTGGTCAAATAGACATTCTCTGCCTAGCATATATCTATCTTCCAGGCTTTCAGAAGGAAAGATGTGTTCAGCATTAATCACACTCTTCGTACAAGTCATTTAGGCACAGTGAACCACTTTTATACTTTACAGAAAGTGTTATACCAGTGTAAGGAACTATTTACTAGTTAAGATTCCAGTCCCCAGCCTGGTGCATCCTTGCAAGCAGAACTTTCTAAGGATGGCAGTCTCAGGCCTTCAGTGTTAATTCTTTTCTGCATGTAGGAAGGTATCTGCATATCATTACTTTCACTGCCCATTCTTATTTTGAGAAAACAAGAAAGAAATCAGGTGGAAAATATATGATAATAGAAGCTATATGAAATAAGGATGACAAAATTAAATTTAAAAGCAGATCAAGCGTATTTAATCTCTTTCTAATGAAATATTTGCCAATCTGGGACATTTTTCTTGTTCTTTTAGTATTTCTCTTGACTACTTTTAAACATTGCTATAAAAATATTACTCATATTGCAACTTTTGGGGCATTTCATAATTCTAAAAATGCCTCTAGGTCGTGAGGCATTTATTGCCATGTAATTAGAAGAAGGCTGTACAAATTTTCAATAATAAGTAATAACAACCAAAACCTGGGTGGAAATCTTAGAAAGTAAATTACTAAGATTTAAGACACACTATGTATTAGCCATTTACTTTCTTTTAATAGGAAAAACGTGGTCTTCGAGAAATGAGAGTTCTTGAAAATTTGAAGAATGTGATCCATGAAACAAATGAACATACTCTTCCCAAATGCAGAGAAACAATGCAGGACAACTTAAGCCAAGTTCTCCAGAGATGTAAGCCGTATATTTTTTTAAATAGTGTTTTTCATTTCAAATGAATGTTTAGCATTATGGTGGGAGGTGAAGAGGGAGAATTATTATCCTGGACATATGAGAGGAAAGCCTAGTCACAGAGAAGGTGGTTGTCTAATGGTTAATGTGTGTTGCCACTGATGTTGGGTATTAGGGTGTACACGGTGGCTCACATCTATCATCCCACACTTTCGCAGTGGCAGGAGAATTGTTTGAGCCCAGGAGTTTGAGATCAGCCTGGGTAACATAGTAAGACCTCATCTCTACAAAAAAAATCAGAAAAAAAAATAATTAGGTGTGGTGGTGCATGCCTGTAGTCCCTGCTACTCAGGAGGCTGACGTGGAAGGATTGCCTGAGCCCAGAAGGTTGAGGCTGCGGTGAGCTATGATTGTACCACTGCACTTCAGCCTGGGTGACAGAGCGAGACTGACTCAAAAAAAAAAAGAATATTAATCTCCAAAGTGAGATGATTTGTGGTACACAAGATAATCTTTTTAGTATATGAGAAAGTCTAAACATTTTTTACTTTAAAAAAATGTTTTTTAATCTATAAGAAAGATTAATGATGCGCAGGAATTAGGAAGGTATGAAATAAATCTTCTTTTTCAAATAGGATACTAGAGTTTTTAGCTTTTTGGGGGGGAGAATAATCCTCTCATAAATGTTTGCATTTTAAAACATTTTTTTTGTTAAGCAAAATATTTTAATGTGGAGAGATAGCTGGTCAAAAGGAATATATATTAATATTCTTTAATACCAAGCCATAACATAAAAATTTTATTAGTAACTGATTTTAAAGTTAAAAGTATGTAAGAAAATCAAGGCTTCTTCTCAAATCTGTATTGACAATATTCGACTTGTCCAATATTGGTGAATAATGATGAATTACTGGAGCTCAAAATAAGAACATATATTTCTGGGGGGAAAAAAACCAAAACTGATCTGTAATAGAACGGTCAGTGAAGAAAAGCAGCAGAGTGACCTCCATTAATAATTGAATTAAATAAGTCTTTGTGTTCAAGTCCAAGTGTATAGTCTTGTGTACTCTAATGTTAAAAGGAGATTGGAAAGGGTAGGTTCCCAAGGATCACATTTGATTTCTTTGAGTGGAACAGCAGAAAGTCTAATTTACTTTAGGCTTTTGCATTTTACTGCAAATATGCCCTTATTTGTTCAAAGTGTCACATTCTTAACCTGGTCAAAAGTTCTGGATATTATTCTAAAAGGAAAACTCCAATTATTTTCAATGAGAATGCTTATGTATACATTTGATACATGCTTATAACTTTCCTTTTATACACTATGATTATATAAAAGTAAATTGTGTAGAACTTGGTGAAAAGCTATGAATAGTCATTTAGACTTTTTATATTCTTGGGCTAAAGTTATTTCTGATGTGAGGACTAGCTTCTTAAACATAGTCTTCCCAGTAAAATAGGAAAATATTACTGGTAATTGGGAATCCAGACTATAAATATATTTTCTTGAAAGGCAGAATTAAAGCACACAAAATGTGAAGTTAGTAATAAGGTTCTAACTTCTGTGGAATACTTTAGGTCTTATTATCAACTTTAGAAACTAGACAATGACTTTTGGAGCAGTTTTCCTGCTAGATACAAGAAAAGCTTCTCTAGTAAGCTCCCACACAAGTATTTTTGGTACCTATTATGCTGAGTGTCACAGGTATAATGGAGATAATTATCTGCCTTTAAAACTGACATAGTTTTGAAAATTAGCTTGGGCCCAGATGTCTTTCCTGACAAATTTCATGTTTAAAAACTTGACATTTTAAATCATGTGTTGACTTGTTTATTTTCACTACTAATTGATCAGGGAATTGTATAAAGTCATGCAAGCAAGTTTATATGTAGAATATATTCTGGTCTAAGTAGTGCATTACGAGAATAGTAATGGCTGGGTTTTGTCGTGTGCCTGTTAGTAGAACCACCACAATTGTCTTTTCATATACATGTTTGAGACTGCACTGGAAGTCACTCAGCTGTGCCTCTCAGAACTCTACAGTTGTGGGCCTTACACATTGATCTTACATGTGCACAAAACTAACAGACTGTAGGGCAGGAAGTTGGGGACACCTGGAAATGTCTGAGTGGAGACCGAGTATAGAATCTCCAGCTTGGAACTGTTTCTGCTTTTGACTGCACATCCACCCATACCGGAAAGTGTCCTGAAATTCGTTGAGCAAGACTTTAGAACCAAAACTCCCCTGATCTTAAAAACCACAAATAGTATGACAAGGAGAACTCTATGAGGGTATGTAAAAACATAACAACCCATAAAGTAACTTGTCATCAAGATACAGCCATTATATTTTTCTCATCCTAAGACACCAGTGGTGTTCTACTTCATAATTCCATTTAATAATTGTTTTATAGACTTGTAAATTTCACTGAGTTTGAGGTCAGGAGATCTTGCCTTAGTATCAAGGACCCAGTCCTTGATTTTAGAGAGTAAGGACAGATAGCCTCTAGGTTCTTCCTTATTCAAATAAACCAGCATAGCCATAGCAGAATATTCTCCCCCTCCTTGTCTCTTTATCTCTTTTTAAGAGCAATGATTTTGCTTTCATATTATTTTAAAATAAGAGGATATATATTTTATTAAGTCATAAGAAAAAAAGAAAAAAGAAAATAAACTCTTAAAAGAAAATGAAGCTCAAAAATCACACTAAATAACTACCTAAAGGACACAGTGGCCCATGCCTGTAATCCCAGCACTTTGGGAGGTGGATCACTTGAAGCCAGGAGTTTGAGACCAGCCTGGGCAATGTAGCGAGATCCTCATCACTACAAAAAGTTTTTTAAAGTTTTTTTTTTTTAACTTAGCAAGGCAGGCCGGGCTTGGTGGCTCAGTCTGTAATCCTAGCACTTTGAGAAGCCAAGGCGAGTGGATTGCCTGAGCCCACGGGTTTGAGACCCACCCGGGCAACTTGGCAAGACCTCATCTCTACAATAAATCAAAAAAATTAGCTGGGTGTGGTAGCACACGCCTGTTGTTCCAGGTACTTAGAAAGTGGAGGAGGAAGGATCGCCGGAGCCCAGCAGGTTGAGGCTGCAGGGGCTGAGAGCGTGCCACTGCACTCCAGTCTAGGTGACAGAGTGAGACTCCAACTCAAAAAAAAAAAAAAGGGCAAACAAATAACTTAGCAAGGCCTGGTGGTACACACCTGTTGTCCTAGCTACTCAGGAGGCTGAGGCAGGAAGATGGCGTGAGCCCAGGAACTCAAGGCTGCAGTGAGCTACGATCACACCACTGCACTCCAGCCTGGGTGACAGAGTAAGACCTGTCTCTAAAAAAAAATAGAATAAGAACCTAAGAGTAACTATTACTTTTTAACTTTAGTGAACATTATTCCAGATATTTTTGTGTATATCCCAATAGAAGGGTGGGTGATGATAGCTGGATGAATAGGTGGAGGACAGGAGAAGTTCAGGACAAGGTATGACAGGAAGAGAGAACATTCAATAAGAAAGTATTAATTTCCATTTTATTTGAATTAGACAGAACAAAAATGTAAGTAAAATGGAAGATAAAACCTTGAAATAAGTTTTTTTTACTCTAAGATTTAGTAATTACTAAAAGGTCATTCTAAGAAAAATATTTATAAAAGCAATTAAAAGTTACAATCACGTTGTTATTGTTTCTGCTGCTTTGTCTTATGTTTGAATTGTCAGCGTTAACTAATGCCTTGCTTTTAGAGATGGAGAAGTTACTTTATCCCTCCCCTCTTTCCTTTCTTCCTCCTCTCTCTCACCTTTGAATTTAACTTTGCCAGGGTTTATATTATTTGCTTTCTCTGTTCTGCAGTTATAATTATTTAATTATATTGCAGTTGTCTTGGACTATTCAGTTCCTTTCTGTTTCTGATTTTATTACTCCTATAAAGGTGTTATAGTTCTCCCTTAGCTTCTCAGTCCCATTTTTCATTTTATCATGTATTTTATCATCACGTTTGATCACTTTTGTTAAATTCATATTGCTATTTTGTATTTCAAAGGACCTATGGAAAATTTTATTAAGTTTAGGGATTTTTTTCGGGTTGAATACTTTGTTTCTCATGTATAATGTTCCCTTTTTTCCTTCCCCTGCCTCATCTGTTTTTCTACAAATTAAAACATAGAGGTGTAAGAATTTGAGGGTAGGGTTAGGAATATCAGTTCTTTACTAGAATCTATGTTTCTATTCTTGGCGACCATTTTTCAAGGTTCATAGTATACAATTATTATTCTGTACTGTTTAGTAAATGATAAATTTTTTTTCCCTTTTAAAAACTTTTTATTTATTTAAAAAATCTTTTTATTTATTTTGGGACCTATTTGGAGGACTAAGTTTGGCTGATTTTGCTTCACTCTGCCATCTTTACCTAGAAATCATTAAGAACTCATTATAATTTAAGACTCATTTTTATAGCACTTTACTAGTTAGAATTTTCACCTGTATTTGTTTCATTTGATTATCATAAGCCAGTAAAATATTTATCATTCTCCCTACTTTATAGTTGAGGAAACTGAAATGTATAGTGATTTAACACTCCTGGTTCTCCAGTAATAACTGATGGAACGATCATGCACAACTATTTCTTCTGACTCTAAAGCTTAAGTTCAACTTCAGGATATTACTTCTGTACATCTTTGAAAAGGTAATATGAAAAGTCTACCTTTTCTCCTGAGTTATCACTTTCTCTCGAATTTCCTCTTACAGCACACAGGCTCCTCTTTCTCTTTCTCAGTCTACTCTGTTAGTTCCCACTTAAACCTTCTTGATTTTATTTATTTGTTTGTTTGTTTTGAGGCAGGGTCTTGCTGTCACCCTGACTAGAGTGTAGTGGTACAATCATGGTTCACTGTAACCTCAAACTCCTGGGTTCAGGTCATCCTTCTGCCTCGGCCTCCCAAAGCACCAACCACCATACCCAGTCCTCTTCCCTGACTTTTAACATTGGGGTGTTCCCAGACTTGGTTCT